TAAACTTTTAATTATATTCCCCGTGATTAACTATTTAGAAATATGAAGGCATTTTAATATTAAAGAATAGTTTTTATTCTTGTGGGTTACATCTTGTGTTAATAACCCCTTCTCTTTATCAGCAAGCAAGGCAGAATGACCACTGCAGTAGGAATATACTAATGTTGTGCTAGAAATTAAGTTGGTATGCGTTTTGAAGTTATTGGTTCCTCGGACCGCGTTATTCTGATTATCTTAAGTATATCACTATCTCGGGAATTATGTAAAATGGCCCTATTATAATAGCTGCGAAATCTATCAACTTTCGGCGCTTTCGGGACCTTTAATGTAATGCTTATAAGAGACAGCAATAATGCTAATGCTATCTTATAACGAAAAATATAAATTTACTGATTTAAACAATACACCCACAGAAAACTAGTGCACAATAAAATTACAATAACTCACAAGGCAATAAAAATCCAGAGTATTCATTGTAAACTGTAATTTGGTCAATGAAATACATTTGGAATCAATTCAATATCCGCTGGCAAATTTCCAAACAGACGGACAGGCGGCTACATAAAAAATAATAACATTAGTGCAGCGCAGTATGAATACGCTATATTGACTATGCTACTAACAACACAATGTTAATAATAACCATCTAAAAATAATAAACATAAAAAACAATCAAAAAATAATATACATCTATAATTTCCCGTGTGACTGTAGTTAATATGTTTAAGTACATACGACCCATTAGACAAAATTGACTATGTTTTCAGTTCAAAGTTTAAGAACTAAGAAGAAAAATCGTGTAGGGGGCAGCAGGAACGTGACTGCGGTCGGTTTTTCTTCGTTTCACTGTCAGATGTTTTATGAATGCCTCTCTCTTATTTGGAATGACAAACAATAAGGGGAGTCGAGTACGGGTTCCGACGCTCCATCGATAACTACCCTCGTCTATTATTCTCAAATTTATCTCGGTGAATTGGGGTCAGGCACTTTTGAAGGATCCCATTGTACGGAATAAAGGAACCCTCAGTTAGTTTTTGTCTCACGTTTTTTTAATAGCAGGTTCTACTAATAAGATGTAACTGATGGTTGGATCTTGGTTTTTTAATTTTAATAAATTGTGATAGAAATTTCAGCTATGGCAGAGCCTTATATCATTGTTGTTGCACGATTGAGCAGAGCCTATTAAACCTCTGCTTGATCCCTCGCGGTGATATATAGGGAAACCACACTGGTCTGTGGTTGGACTTACACCGCAAACAACGCTTACGCAATAGGTAATACACAACCAGAGCCGCACACACCGCTGGTGGCCTGGGGGCTTGAAGCTTTGTTAGTCTCTTCTAGCTCCAATAGCCTCTGAGTGGCTTTCAAAAACTGTAGTGTTCCAGCGCGTCTTAACTAGACATGTGATATATGGTAGGGCCACGCAAAAGTGCGCAGTTTTACGAATGGAGAGGTCTGTCCGGGCAAGTACCACGACCTCACAGAAGACCGGCGTGAAGTGGAAGTGTTATACTTCGGCAATTCGAATGGTGAGTGACGTAGTTGGCGCCTACTTTATTTAAATGTGGCAACGCATCTGCAACACTACGGGTGCTGCAAACGTCCATGGACGGCGGTTATCACTTAACATCAGGTGAACCGCCAGCTCGCTTGCCACTTTATCAAATTAAAAAAAAGAGAGGGCCTGCTACGACACTTCTTCGCCAGCGCCGTAACTGTCGTATTTGCGAAAGCGTGCCTGTAGTCCTGCCGATTAAGTGGAACATCTGGGGGCTTTCAGTCGGTGCGAGTTCGACTCATGCCGCACTCATGGGCATTTCTGCTTTGTAAACAGAAAAAAGCCTTATGGGGGAAAGCACCACGGCCTCCCAGAAGACTGACATAAATTTGAAGTATAAAGTCTGGTGAATAAGGGCCCACTATCTATAACATCGAATACTTAATATCGTGAATGTAATAGTTGTCAATTGGCGGCAGTAATTTCTTTCTATCAGGTCACGGCACCTTCTCGTGTACAAGAGGATTGATATAATCGCACCTCGAGTATGGAAGCCTTATTTCGGCGCATTTCTTTGCATGGAATATATTATTAACGTATTAAGAACAAACATTCATATGGGATATTCTTATTGAATTTTTTATTTTTCTACTACTAAACTTGGATTATTTTTTATTTGAAACCGAAACAGAAACCCAAGATTGGATATAATATAAATTGTAATATAATTTTTAAACAAAGGAAAGATTATCCTTTGATTAAAAAAAAAGGAAAGATGTAAAAAGGAATTAAGTTCATTTTTAAATTGGGACTTTTCCTATTTTAATTACTAGCGACCCGCCACGGCTTCGCACGGGTGCAATGTATTATACATTTACTATCTACTATACTACTACTATCTAGTAAAAAAAAACCGGATCAAGATCCGTTGCGTAGTTTTAAAAATCTAAGCATATATAGGGAGAGACAGCGGGACGACTTCGTTTTATACTATGTAAAGATTCTGTCAAACACATACGGCAGCACCGCGTCATTAGGATGGTTCCACATAGTTTATGCGGTGCATGAAACGGGACGTTCACGACGAGTGGAGCTCGTTATCGCGCCGACCGCACGCGTATCCGATTAGTGTTCGTTACGCTCGTCACCTCATTAACGTTGATAAGTATACTATAAAAAAGCAGAACAAGCCCCCAACATCACTGGGTCGGAGATGGCTGCAGCTATGTACTTTTCATCATCATTTAGTATAGAATATGTCAGAGGTTAAGCCTGTGAAGAAAATCTCGTTGATGCACGACAATGGAATTCAAACCCGTGATCCTAGATTGCACGTGTATCAGGGATTATGACATCCACTGCCTCCTAGACCAATTATAATTGTAACAGAATGGAATGTTTTGATATTCGAAACTATAAATGCTCGGAAGATTCGATCTACTGCTATACTGTGGATCGATGACTTGTTAGGGTGGGTGGGTGGTATTTCACCATCATCAGCCTAGCGTGTATACACTGCTTGAAATGGTATTTTTGGTGGAGATGGTTGCTGGAGCATGATTGAATAGGATGATCATGCAAGAAATGGCGGTCTATGTTCAGTAGTGCTTTCGTATACGAAGATGACTAAATTAAATTACAATTCTTTAATTTTACGCTGGTTCCAAGCGTTAGAACCGTTTTATATTTTGGTCACGGGCCTAATCTTATATATAAAATATTTGTTTAAGCTTTAGTTTTATTATTTTCTAGATATACGCTATATAATACATATAAATATTCAAATTTCAATCTAGACAAATTCTAAAGACACTTACATAGGTATTATTAACATTGTTTGATGTTCTACAGTAAAGCGCAAAATTTCAATTTTCGGGGGAAAGATTTTCAGTGCAAATTGTTTGTATTAATTCACTTTCTATATATTAATTCCCAACTAAAGTTTACTTTTGCCTCTATTAACAAAGTTGATATTATCGTAACAAAACTCGTTTTTTTTTTTTAATTAAAAAATGGCGGTACTTATTAACACATTATACTATAACCTCTTGGTCCTTTGCAAAAAAATCACACGGGCGAAGAATAATAGATTCTTCGACGGTAAAAATAACGAAAATTGCTTTACATAAAGTGTTTTGATTGATATATTTTTATTAATTGTCTAAATTTCAAATTGTACTTACTGAGAGATCGATCTTATTCTATTTATAAGAGTATAAATAATAATTTCTCATTACGTATTTATGTACGTCCGTCATTTTGCATTAGATTCTGCATAGAAAGTTCGTCTGAGAGACGTTTGGAACGCCCACATGATACATTGCCTGACTGCGTGGGAATTTGCCGCCCCCATAGTAAGCTTATTGGAAATTACCAACAGTTTCCACCCACTGTGTTTACGATCTTGTTATAATTCCTTTGAGCCTGCCTGAAACAATAATAGTAGTAAATTAATTGAGCTGTTTGCAAACAATCTTAATAGCATTACTTGGAACGCTTGGGCGTGTTGATTTTAACTAAATACGTTAGTGATGATAGTAATTATTAGGTTTTGAGCGATTTTTATTTAACAATGCCGCATTAAATTAACTTTCTTACAATAATATTTTATTTTGATTACAAATTACTCAGTTAAATTCTAAGCCAAACCTATCATGGACAATACCCTTTGTCGTAATCGCTTTCTTCATATCCCATTACCAAGAAGGGTCATATTTTAATAAATTCTTGATTTTTCTTGGATACACAGGATGTGATGTGTATGTAGCACACGCTGAACTGTCTATTCTTTTTTCGTTATCTTAATCTCTTTTTACCCTGTATACGTCGATAGATAATCTATTTTATCTGCAACCGAATGAACTTTATAAAAATTTGTAAATTTCAAAATCCGTATAAACGTAAAACATAACCTTTACGGTGGTGGGAGTCGCAGTAATGTCCGCCATAGAACAAATGTGTCCGCTCGACCGGTGATGTACCACGGCCTTTTACGGCGGTTTATTCTCTCATAAAAATAACATTACTTGACCCCTCATTCTTTTTTTTATTATAAACGCGAGAACCGGAGTGAGAATTTATGTAACTTAAACATATTTAACAAAGCGTCCACATAGGCATACGCCTATGTATACGCCTATATAGCAGGGGGGCCGGGTGGGCCATGCCCACCCCAGTATCGTCTAGTGCCGATTATAAATTCTAAGCTGTATGCCTAAGAAACTTCGTAAAAAATCATAGAAATCAAATAATTATCAACAGCCGAGAAATCTATGTACAAACTTAATTTTTATTCTATTTTACAATACATTCCGTTTATTTACTTGTGAATACACAACGTACTAACTACTAATTAGTTAATTCTACGATTATATAACACGCATATTTTTCGATTTTTTTGTAAAGGCCCAGACCCACCCTGAAAAATAGACCTAGATACGCCAATGAGCGTCCATTTGAGCAACATATTTTGTTAATGATAATTTGTTTTTTATTTCAGAAACAAAACACGAATTAGAAGATCTAATGGCCGATATTAAGAAAACTGCCAACAAAGTAAGAGGAAAATTAAAACGTAAGTGATTTTTTTCTTTGTCATCATTGATAACAATCTGCTTTATCGTTTGTTGGTTGACTGAACATTTTGAGAACACAATTCTTTTGATATTATACTTATTAGATTAATACGGAAATTCTGGGAAACAATATTTATTTTTTATTATGTATTTAAATTATTTAATGCTTTAACTTAACTGCGTTGTGCAAATTAACTTGCTTTAAAAACGATTTATTTTTTAATTATTCGTTTTTAAAACAAATTATTTAAAAAATAATAATTGGTACAAGTTTTACTAATAATTGTACGCATTTGCTAACCGTCCACAGTTTTAACTAACAATTTCAAAACGGTAAATGTTTGACGGTCCTATCTTCATTAAAAAAAATAGGTTATTAAAACTTTTAAAATTTATCCGATTTACTAAAAGTAGATCGTGACCAGAATAGATGAGGAAGTGATGATGTCACGGACGCCGGAAAATTTTAGATAAGCTTTTCTTCTCGCTTAAAAAAAATTGAATAATTGATTTTCAATCTTAAAAGTAAACTGGTTGATACTTAACTAATACATGGCTCATGATGTTAATCACTTATGATCACAAGGAATCGTGGTCAAGCACTTTATTTTAACTTCCTAATACATAAAGCGGTGATGTATTCGTGGGTAATAAACGCACCAGCTCAGCTAAAAGCCCATTCAGTCCAGCTGCCAGACGCTCCCTGTCACATTATCACCGTTTCACGAGCCAATCGCCGTCGGAATCCGCAGACATAGAGCAGAACATCGAGCAGGAGGAGCACTCGAACAAGTCGTCGGCGGACCTGAGGATAAGGAAAACGCAGCACTCGACGCTGTCGCGCAAGTTCGTCGAGGTGATGACCGAGTACAATCGCACGCAGACGGACTACAGGGACCGCTGCAAGAACCGGATACTGCGGCAGCTGGAGATCACCGGCCGCGCGACCACCGACGACGAGCTGGAGGCGATGTTGGAGCAGGACAACCCGGCCGTCTTCACTCAGGGGGTGAGCACGGAATTCCTCACTAGCGCTTTGTACCCATCGCTACGGTCGGGCCCTAAGTAGTGTTGCGACCGTCAAACCTCCTTTTGACCGATATACTACAACTGACGTATGACTGGCATAATAGACGTTTACATTAACTGACGACAAATAATATACGATTTATTTTTGAAAAAATACAAGTAACAACGCCAGCGACAGGACGCTACAACACTAACAAGATATTGTACGAACGTAGAGATATTTTAATCTTTTATTCAGACAGAAAAAGCGGTTCAAGATATCGTGCCACTATATTATGCATATAATGTTTATTTGTAGAATATGTTTTAACCCTGTTAAAATGTCACTATGTTAATACTGAGTGGTTTGAAGACGTCTTTTACTATTTTTCGAATTGAAAATGTTATATTACATTTCTAACATTTCTTTTAAAAATTGAGTGGTTCATTTGCTTTTTCCTGTTTTATTTTTGGTCCTTTGCAATACGGTTTTTGTAGCGGTAACATTGATTATGATAATTATTTTTAACCCAGACAAAGGATACACCAAATAAATCGTCATTATGGGCTCAAATCCCACAATGGACGACTATTTCTGTGACCCACAGATAATTTTTCCAGATCTGGGTGTTTGTTCCAAAGGAAGGGTTGACTTTAGCCAGACGGCCGGTTGTAGAAAACCTAGCCAATACCACTTACACGACATGATTCACATTTTGTGGCAAACCCCACTAGGGATCAAGACAAGAGGACGATGATTATATTATTCTTATTTATATAGTATTCTTCCTTTCTATCCATCTTTAGGCTTATTCTTTAAGATCCTGATACGTTTTAAAACTTGATATTGATATCGTGCTCTGACATCTGACATCTGACGTGCATGGACATGTCCTTTTTTATGCGAGAAGTAGAACTAGCGACATTTGCAACACCCGTAGGGTTGCAGATGCGTTGCCACCTTTTAATAAAGTGAGCTACGGCTGCCACACTCGCCAGACGAAACGCAGAAGTATAACACTTCCACCTCACGCCGGTCTACTTTAAGATACTTCCCTGGACGGTCTTGCCTATTTCTAGCAACAGCGAAGACTGTTGCGTGGCCCTTCCACAGATAATTATTTTATGTATGTGTTATTGTATGTGCATTGTTAAATGTTTCGTTTTATGTATGTTTATTGTATCTTATTATTTGGTATATATTAGTATATTTGTTGTCCAAAATATTTGTAGCCATAAGGTTGTTTGGAAGAAATCGCTTTTTAGCGATAAGACCGCCTTATCGTTATTTCTTTTATATTTTTATGGTGTTCAATAAGCATATAATAATAATAAAACTAATAAGGTATTTACTAAAACTACAAAAACTCATATGGTTACGTTCCATTTTTCAGATAATAATGGAGACGCAACAAGCGAAGCAGACGTTGGCCGACATAGAAGCGCGGCATGCGGACATTATCAAACTGGAGACCTCCATTCGCGAGTTGCACGACATGTTCATGGACATGGCGATGCTCGTCGAGAGTCAGGTCACTCGCTTTTACATCATAGTTTCGGCACGCAGCGTCGCCTTCATAGGCTCTTTTTCTGAAAAATTAGTCCACGAATTGAAAGTATCTGTTTTAATATTCATCAAACACATTTACGCAAAACTTTGCATTTGCTATTTGAGTGCGATGGAAAATAACTTCGGTTACAAATGTCTCAAGTCTGATGTAGTAGTGGGTACATTTTGAATGCCTTAAACTTATAATAATCTTATCATATATGATATTTTGTAGGTTAGGTTACCTGAAACTGATCATTTTATCGTATAGGCTTCAGTATAGGCTTTTTACCATCAGTTGTTCGTTCGTTTTCCTGTTACAAAAAGAGGAGGATGATGACATATGTATGTCCCCATTATTAAATGGGGACATACATATGTCATCAATCGTGACAAAATTTATTAAAGGTTACCCATTTAATTTTTTAAATTACCATAGGAAATTTAAAAGATAATTTATGAATGAAAAAATGTTGACTATACATATTATACTAACTAAATTATACACCTTTGCAAAAAAAACCAGTCCACGCTGCACGGTGTCAAGAAAGTTAGCTGATTCCTCCCTGAATATTTCATTATCATTAATTCTTAATGTTCAATTGGATCTAATGGAATGAAGCTAATAGAATTGAAGCTAATGAATTCGATATGCTACTAGTTATTTAAAATAGAAACGTGATAGATCTACGGATGGCTGAAACATTAACATGTATAGATGTAGTTTAAAATATTAAAACCAAGCTCGTATGGATACAGGGTGAAATGATCGACCGCATTGAGTATCATGTAGAGCACGCTGTGGACTATGTCCAAACTGCCACACAAGACACTAAGAAGGCGCTAAAATATCAGAGCAAAGCGCGACGGGTGAGTTGACAGTTTAACTAACGGATCATTCGTTGCTAATGCGTTTTCGTTTTGTTTCCCCCCCCCCCCCCCCTCTCCCTTATTACTCCCCTACCGAAACCGTGCCCTCTCCCACAATCCCATGTTGCGTTGTGAACGTCATATACATTCGACCCTGTTTCGTTTGTCCCGACGATCCGGTGATTGGTTCACGCCATTGTCTTTTTGTTCGTTTTCGTTTTTAACCCTTCTTTGATTTAACACCACGTGCGCATCCACGTTCTCGCTTTACGTGTCGTGTACTAACTGTTCATGTCTCTCAAACTAACACTCGATGGAAATGGGCTTCTCTGTCTACAACATGATCTCTGTGTGTCACTACTGATTTGACCTTTGGTTTTTGGTGTGTGCGTAATTTGCCTCTTTCTTTTTTATTTGTATCTGTTTTTTTTATGTATTGTACTGTTTCGTCTTCATCTTTTGTACATTGAATGCAACTCGTCTATTATGTAACAACCGTCCTATCTATAACTAACAACGTAATAACATTTTTGTTTGTAATTTGTATTAAAAACAACACATATTTTATTGCAAACGTCGCTCACTTGTGCGTCCGTGTAGACTAACCGTATTCTGGTGCTTCGGGCTACTAATATAAACCGCCTTCACGTATCAACGGATGGTGCTCGAGCCGGCACTGTGTTCGCTTGTGGGGGCTATTCTAACACCGTATGAACCAATCGGCCGTGTGCGAGACTCGATCGTGCGTCCCGTTCCCTCCCAGCGGCACTGACCTTAGCGCGAGCAGGGTGAACTGATAGATCGCATCGAGCACCACGTCACGCAGACCACTGACTACGTGGGCTCGGGGCAAGAGGAGCTCGTGCAAGCGCTCCACTGGGCGACCAAAGCTCGGAAGGTAATACACGCGAATCGGACGCATAACCGTCTAATTACGAGATAACCCCCAACCTCCCCGTAATTACACACGCGTAATTAACCGCTCAATCCTGCGACACACTACTTCCGTTCGCAATTGGGAGGTGCTTGACTAAATCACCCCCCTTCTTTAAACAATCAATTCTTGAGGAACTTTCCTCTTAGTTCTAACATGTTAGCGGGGAATCGAGGAGAAGGAACAATCGATTAGTATAAGAAACACTGACAGTATAACATGTCACCCCTCCCCCTTCATGTATTCTCTCTCTTTCTCTAACTGCTGAATCTCTTTGATAATACATTTGCATGCAAAGCATTACGCATGGATTTAATCAATGCATCCAAACAATGTTTTAGGTTCGATTAATTAAACACATATCGCATTAAAAGTTCTATTAAAATTTTTTATATCTATATTAAATGATAGGAATATAACTATATGTTTAAAATCTTTAATTCCGGTATATGCAATAGAGTTGATTGAAGGTTTATAGCTTTGTGATATAATTGGCTGTGAAAACTTTTTTAAATCTAATGAACCGTTCATTTTACAGTCCACTCAATTAATGAAAATCTTTCAATTCGATACGAAATTTACAGAGTATGTAATTGTGTTTATATTTACTTCGGGGCAAGCTTTGTACCGCTGTTTTTCTTGCTAAATTATTCACCTAAAATTTAACATTAAACACCTGAAAGCCTTGAAGATAGCAGAAAGTAAAGTTTGATTAACCAAAATCAACATAGCAAAACAAAATATATATAGGTATGTATAATAATACAACTTAACAAAATAGTCAACAGTGAAAGGATTGGCCAAGGCTTTGTTTTATATAATTTTGCGCACGCATAGCAATTTCTATGTGTATTGGTTGTGGAGTCTGCTCAATGTAACTGTACTCGCCGAATGCTTTGGTTTTCACTGGTGAATTTGCACAATCGAAAGCTTTCTCAATTTTAGATACAATTTGATGTCGGCTTGTGATGTATTTGCCTTGAATAGTAAGTATATTTTTTATCCCTAAAGTGCAAATTGCACTTTTTAAGCAGTATTTTGTTAATTGGACACTTCGATAAACTTATAAAATCAAAAATTCATTTAACTCGACTTACATTGTGATTACATTTTACGTATAAGAAATTTGGGTAAAAAAATTATAAGCCATTTTCAAAGTGACATGGTGACGGTGGATAAACAGTTTAATTTGTATGACAGTCGTATCTATAACATTATTTTATTCCATCACCCTGTAAAAATCCAGCAAGCACCACATCGAAGACGGCCTCATTGATTCTCACCCCCTCTCCGTTTCTCCTTTGTCGTTGCAGAAAAAGATCTTCATCATTATATGCCTCTCCGTTACGCTGGTTATATTGATTATTGTACTCGCGATCGTGCTCAGCTAAGCGGCGGCGGAAGAGCGACCGGCCGGGCGCCCGCAGCGGGACTTAACCCCCCCTCCCGCCCTCGCCCCACGTGCATCGGTCGCGCCCGCAAACGTTCAAACAGTTTGCCAAATGTCGCGTGTTTGCCTAACGTCACGCGTGGGACCGCCTCCGCGCTCCTTGGCGAACGTTTGCCAAACTTGTTTGTTCCAATCTAACGTTTAAAACGTTTGCCAAATTTCGCGTGTTTGGCTAAAGTCACGCGGTGCGACCGCCCATGCGCTAGTTGGCGAACGTTTGCCAAACCCGTTTGTATCGATCTTGTCTTTCGCGAACTCGTTTGAAATTCGCGTGTTCGTGTTCGACGAACTGACAAAAATGGATTTGACAAACTTATTGAACGTTTACGGTGCGCACTGGGATGATCATGCTAAAAAATAGATGCTATAACGCCAGCTGTAATTAGTTTCTTTTTTCGAGTGACCGTGCTACGAAGGTGGAAACAGCCAGTGTTGTAATAAAAAATAAATATTTTTTCGCTACCGACGTGTGACAGCTTTACCATTAATCATTTGTAATCTTAAAAAAAGTACAATCATAATAAAAAAAAGTTTTATTTGAAGAACGTACACGATGCCATTTAAAGTTATTATATTAATAAAGGGCTCAAGAGCAAAATTACCGCTCATTATGTATATCAGGTGGTTTGTTTCCACCTAAATGATTGTCATGATTTATAATCATGTTGGTGCATTAACATTTTATATTGAAATTAGTTGGTATATGTTGCAGTTAATAGTTTTATATTGCTTAGAATTATTTAGATTTTTAACACTGAAAGGGCCAAGTAGGATCTTCTACAGTATCGTATAAAACCTATATACTTTTGTGGCTAGTCTGGTGAAAGAAGTAATTAGTGAAGAGTTGGTGACGCATCTGCTACTCCAATTTTTGTTGAAGATGCTCATCAGGCGGTTATCGTTTACATAATGGAATGGTTGTCCTGCGCGAATGACAACTTTTCTCATAAAAAAACACATGTTATGAGCTTTCAAACTTTTTTTTTTCAAACCTTTTTGAACTTTTGGGAAATTGGACAAATAAAATTAATAAACATTTGTAATTTATACAAATAAAATTATTGCACTCGCCGTATATCGAATTTGGATCTGAATAACTCATTAGCTGCGACATATACGAACTTATTTTCGCTGTATGTTAAAGCGCTATAAAAATTACATTGTACGATATTTTTACGTGCGTTATGAAATGTCCATAATGTTGCAACAGATAAAAAAAATGTCATATACTAAATATGTCGCAATGAAGACAATATGTATAAAGTGCAATAAATAGATTGTGCTTTAGTTATAATTTATATTGTTAGTTAATATGAATAATTACCGGTGTTCACTGTAGTGTGTACTATGGAGAGTTTAATATCTATCATTGTACATAATTACTCTCATCATTAATGCTGGTTTGTGTATAAGTCTCCAGAAGAGATTGGATTTGTCACCCAGTTTTCTTGTAATATATAATGTAATTTCGATTTATTTACAAGCTATCAAAATATTTCCTAACCACTCTATTGTACTGTATTAATAAGAAACATAAATGATACTTAGACGCACATAAGTAAATTAAATTAGAAAAAAAAGGAAGTAAGTTAAAATTGTTTTTCTTCTTAATAATTCATGTGAATATCTTATCTTAATATTATGTCTATATATAAATACTTAATGAGTGTAGAGCGCCACTCATTATAGGGCACCGAAATTAAAGTACACAAAAATTTTATGTCTTATTATCATTTAGAACGATCTGGCCTCATTAAATTGTATATAGGGAATTAGTTTATGCTATATTAATATGTAATTTCTTTCTGATTTAGTGCTAACATTTGATTATTATTTTTCTCGTTTCTCCTAGTTACAACTTTAGCATTCTAAAAGTTCTAAAAGTTACAACTTCAGCGACCAGTATTTCTTTAATTATAAGTCTCTAGCACAAATTTATTCATAATGCTTATCGATTGTTTACTTTTGTTTATTATAGTTTTGTTTAATGGAATTGCTATTATTTTGTTAACGGTACAGAAATTTATAAGTTTCCTAGGTAAGCCTAGTACTTACTTTTTATATTAACATTATAGACATTTTTTTTTATTTATTGTTGTTCAGTTATACGACATGGATAACATCAGTATTCGGGAGAATTCAAATAATTGTTTTGTTATAAAATATTTACGAATGCATTTATTAGGAGCATTTTGTGTACCCAAACGAATATTGTTATCTCTTTTTACCATTGTCTTTTGCACACTAATGTTTTTGATTTTTTTTCTGAGTCATGTTTAAATATTTAATACCATCCGTTCATTGAGGTTCATGCATAATTAGAAAGTGTAACGCTTGTTCCGATGACATGCATGAAGGTATGATATTTTCTTATTTATACGCAGTGCTGCGTAGTTAGCAAAACCATATATATATTTTATTAAATTTAATATTTTTTGTTTACGTTTGCCTCCATTTAAACAATATTGCCGTAAAAAGCAGATGCTATGGAAGACAAACATGTTTATTTGCTAAATTAAATCTTTGCGAATATTTTTGCTTTTGATAATATTTTTTTTCCTATTTTGCTAGGTCATCTGCGTAAGCAATAAACTTACACAATTATTTATTTAATTAAAAGACTGTGAGTTATAATTTAATGCCATTTTCATTATTATTAATTATAATTATTATTTAACTGTATTAATCTGTCTAGAGGATTTGTATTTTCTTTTCATATGGAATGTTATGAACCGATTATAACTCCGCTTCACGATGAAGAGGGGACTATTACAAAGTTGTTTAGAATTGTGTATTCTAAAAGATTTACTCACAATGTAAATATGTTTAGATTTCGAGAGGGGAATGAATTACATTTATTTATTTTATTTTCAATTTATTTTTTTTATTTTTTCCACCACCACATACCAAATAAGGCAAATGACGCACCCACTAGCTCAGTAAGTGCGAGAGTTCTCGCGGTGAAAAAAACGTGCCCATCGTCGCATCGTTGTGTACATACCGAGAGCGCGCGACATAACGGCGCTCGCGGCCGCGGGTCAAGTTTATAGCGTACTGTTGCATGCCCGCCATTCGACACGACAGAAGAAGATCATGATCCTTGTGTGCCTGCTAATACTGGGCCTGGTTATCGTGGGCTACGTGTCGAGCCAGTTCACCGGCTGAGAGGGGCACCAGGCGAAGTAACGCAACGCCCAACGCCCGAAGGTAAAACTAACTCGGCCAGCCGGCGAGCCAGCGACGCGCCGCACGCGTCCACTGGCTCGCCGCCACTGTCCAACTACTAATTTTTTTTTTCGTGTTTCTCCCCTGTGCAGAAGAAGATAATGATTATGCTGTGCCTGCTCGTGCTCGGCCTCATTGCGACCGGATACGTGTATAACACGTTCTTCTAAACAGTACGGGGAGCCCGGGGCAGGTTTGACGCGTTGAACGCGCTTCAATAGACAGCATCCATAGTTAGAGTTATTTATTTTCGACTCATCCGAGTAGAGGCTGCTGGTTACAATAGGTACGATCATGTACGACGCTTTCCATCGCGTACCGTTGGGTCATAATGAGGCCACCCATCGTATTGGGGATAGATTGATATGTACAAAGTGAATTGTCCAAATTGATAAATATGTATTAATTACACACAAAATTTGCATGCGCATCTATGACACGTATACAACTCGCATACTTTACACTAGTTAAGATTATATAGAAAATAGACATGCGTAGAACATACAATAAGTACAAATACACGCCTCAGAGGATAGGAATTCGTATGCTATTTATCATATTGATCATCTAAGCTATATAAAACACGACAGCAAACATTATTATCTACTTTAAATTTGTTTAATGCATGTACATATTATCAAAGTGATGATAAATAACTTATTATAAAAATACTTTCGAACTCATTGAGAATTATAAAATAAACTTATTCTATAATAAATACTTAATGACCATTCTTTTTAGCCCGTAAAGGTATTAATTAGTAATATATATATATATATATTTATATGGGTATTAAAACATATATATATAATGAGAAACTATTAACATCTTAATGAATTATTTTTTATTTTGTTTTATTGGAATTGCTCAAAAATATAATGTCTATGAGAGAAAGCCACATAAAAATTTGATGCTATTTATCATAACTTCTACACAATAAAAGGTTTGCGTCCAATTTCTATAAAAGTTTTCTGTTAATGTTTTAAATATCTTTATAATATATTCAGCCCGCAGTTTTAACAAGTAATGATTTTCTTAAACAAAAAGAATAAATAATTTTTCGTTAAATTCCTACAATTATTTTCCTTTTCTTTTAACTGTCTTTTTTTTCCTGTTTTTTAAATTACTTTTTATATTATAAATAAGCAAATTGGACCAGCCTTATTTCAATTTAATATATACACTAGCACTTACTTTTGTCTTTGGCACATCTTTTCTCAAATTATTTACCATTAATTGCCCTAATTATTGTAATTTATTCTTCATTTCCTATTTATTTATTTTTATTTTATCCATTAAATAATACATAAAAAACAATGTAACATCTGCTGTGTTACATTATCACAATATACTTTTCATTTAGATATTATTTAAGTTATAATTGATGCAAACACGAATTTTGAGGTCAGCTTCACAATATTTTTTCCAAAAATAAAAACGATATTACTTTATTTGTGCCAGTATCAGTATTTTTGCAGTTTTATTAAATTATTAAAAACTATAAAGAGTACATAAACTTTTCAGGAATTATTTAAAAATTTGAAAATACTTAATTAAATAAATTTGAAAAAGCTTAAAAATTTTCCACTTAATATAGAATAGAGTTGTTTTGTTAATCAAAATATTTTAAAATTGGAAATAGTCTAAATTTAATACTGTTATAGGGTCAATTGGTCGTCTGTGTATGTTCAATATGTTTTCACTTCAATTTGAAAAAAAAAAAGCAAAAAAAATAGATGTAACGAAAATTGGATGCCACATTTACGATACAGCATGCACATAAATAATGTTTTTGACATACCATACATTCAATTATGTCTTTCATGTTGCACCTACTGTTAATTGTGCGATGACCAAAATTTTCTTATGCTTAAAATAAACACATATCGGTTAGATAAACGATTTCTTGTATAAATAACGTGCAACATAAAACGACATGTGTAACGCATATTATCTAAGTATATTCATTTTAACACAACTTTATGTGGGGTTACATTTTTGCACTATATTTTCACAGGACAGTCAAGCAAAGAAACATTTGTTGCTACTACATGTGCCTGCGTCCCGTCTGGCATTAAGAGCAAAATCAAGTCATCAAGAGCCCAGCAAGTCATCAGTTACACACACATTCCAAGTTTTGTTAACATTATGCATAAAGATGTAATCTTATTTATTTTTTCTTCATAAGTACTAGTTTTGTATCGAACTTAATCGCGGATAGTTAATTTATTCCATTCTAATATTCCAACATTTAATTTAATACAGGCCTTTATTAATGTGCTAATAACAAAAGCGAAAGGGTATAATATTAATAATAGTGCATTTATTTCTTTAAATACTTTTGAATTAATCGAAGCTATTTTAAAAATTTAATTTAATTCACTTTTCATTCATTCAAATCATTTCATTCAAACAAAGCTTTAATTTGACATTTGTAAATTGTCCGCAGGTTTTTCGTTTCATAATTATCTCAATTTATATCTTGCAATCAGCTATATATATAATACTTTTGTCATCAAAAGACCACATCCATAAGTAGGGATTAAAAAAACATCATTTTTATTTTTTTTTTATTTTGAAACAAAATCATGATTTCACAGCATCGCAATTCAGGGAATGAATATGTAGGTCACTCATTACATGTTTAATCAGAAATATAGCTATATGAATAATGCTACAGGCTGTTTCATCCGCAACCAATAAATATTATTCAGACATACGAAACGCCAACGGAACTAGTCGTAATTTATGGTAAAACATTTCGAGCTACGTGAATTATAAGCTTCGAGTGTGTCGTCTTAATATATTAATTAATCATGGTATGTTATCTATTAGATACCATCACTGTGATACGGTATAGTGAGTTCAGATATAAATTTAAAGGCAATACATTGTTTGTGACGTACAAATTGCGATCTCTGCGTCATTTTTTCCGGTCGCAGCTCGATCACGAGGTACGTCACGACTTACAATTAACTGCCTCGTTCAAATATATTAATATTGTAGTACCTAATTCGTGATTGATGCCGAATAGCGATGCGCGGTCGTTCTGGTGTTCACTGCACGTGGAATCGGTTGCGGACGTGAGTTGGCTTACGCATGTACGGTTTTCAGAATAGATTTGGAATGGGGATAGAATTGTAAGGGTGGGGTGGTGGAGAATTGCGTGCGAAGTATATTATAATGTGTCGGTCTCATTGGGTCGACAACTCGATAGACACCACCGCACCCAGCATATCACGCCGCGTGTCGTCGCCATAGCAATAATATTCGATTACAATTTGTAAAATTGTTTTGAACCTTCGAATGTGTGATAGTAGATGCAGTTGTTGTTTAGTTAACTTTAACATCGTATTGTAATAATTAATTAATGAATTGATTAATCGTTATCGTGAGCGTAACTTCTAGTGGAACCCTAAGAGTTTTGAATATAATTGACATCGAGACGCCTAGATTGTCGCGGAAGGGAAACATACAAATTGATAGAGTCGAAATGCGTACTAATAATTGAATTTTGGTTTCTTACATTTTAAGACGGATCTTCGTTGTACAGTAAAACATAATGTAGCTGTTTTAGCTAGGGTAAATTTTTTAATAAATTGAAACTACCTTATTACAAATCATCAGCAATACGACTGTGGTTATCAAGCGGTGGTTTTTCGTTTGTTAAATACATAGATATCGTAGAAATACACAAGAAAAATTAAGCACCAACATACCTAGCCTAAATTCTACTTATATATTGATTAGCGATGAAAATTATCAGGGGAGTATTCGTCTGATAATATTAATCCGTGAACATAGAGGGCTATTCGGCGGGAAGATAACGGCACTAAATCGAATCCCTATGGAGCGTGGCCAATCGCCAACTCGGAGCCCTAGTGCGGAGTCGCAGTATGTAAGGACATGAAGCAATGTTAATTTTAACATTTATAGCATAATTAGACTTTTATTCTTAAGTGTAGGGTTTTCATCTAGTTGCCTTCGTAAAGTTATAGGTAATAGGTTATATAACATGTACCTCTCTCCTCATCGGCTTCGTTGCGAAATGAAGCCCACACGCGTATTCCTACTCTCAACGAACATAGTCAATTGTGTCGCTTGCCAACGCGAGCAAGCGTCAATGCTTTCTGCCTCCGCGCTATATATAAGCTCGCCTCCCGTCTCTCAGTGCGACTCATCGCTGACGCTAGCTGGACGCATCTCACTCACGTCTCATCGTGTTTAGGCTAAGTATCATGTCGGCCCCGTCGCGGGGTCGCTTAACTGACACCAAGTAACTTTAATTGTAGAGTTCGGTGCGCGTAGTCCAGGACGCGCGTTCGCACAAGTCTCTCCCCTCCCCCCTCCTCCCTGCGAGGCTCGAGCTAGCTAGTCTCGTCTGTATGATAAAAGATTAGCTTAGATTTAACCGGACTTCTAGTCGGCTTTCAATGATCTCTGTTGTTTCCCGATCGTCTTTAAAAATAATTAATCGTAAGCAGTGGTGACTGCTCTGTTTATAGTGTTTACTGTCTCGTGTTCAATAAAGCGCGGCCATGTCGCCCATGTCGCGCGGCGCAATAAATTATAGCGATTCTCAATCTTGTCTTAAATACATAGATATTTTCATAATCAATAGTAGGCATATTGTTATTGGATTGCTAATTTTGTATAAGTACACAATTAGTATAGTTTATATACTTATGTGTCAATTCTTATAGTGTTTTATTACATTAACAGATTATAGCTACTAAGTGTTAAATATACCGATGAACAGTGTTGTTCGGGCTTCAATAATATTTTACGTTCAGTAATGTATCGGTCGAACTACTCGTATATTCAGACTTGTATTCTTCAATAGAAAATTACCCTTATATGGTATATAACTAAGGTATTATCTATTCACGAGTTGATATTAATGTAATCCAAATTATTAGGTCGGCTGTAACACATGAAATCTCAATTGATAACCTTTCTGAATCCTTCTCGCTTGTGAATTTATGTGACAACGAACATACAATTAATGATCTTAAGAATTAAAATGACACAAACTATGAAAACCTATTTAAGACAGGTTCTCACAAGTATGGCACATCAACTTTGGCACTGTTGTTTGCCCACCTACGTCTTTCCTTTTATTTCGAACTGCTTTATCTTAAGTATATGTGAGCTTGGTACGCAATCAGTAACCATGGAATTGCGATTACAAATATTTATAAAAGCAACTAGCTTCGAATATCTTGTTTGATATGTACGAAAGAAGGGGGTCTGTTAGATAAAATACTTTGGCAATTGGACCTGTCAAACTTTTAAACATTAATGTTTAACAGTAGAGTCGCTAGACTTTGGTAGTATAAATCTTCGTAAATTCTCAAACGTGCTTCGTTCTCTCTTACTAATTGATGTTGCTTAACGTTGAATGATGTAAAACATTGACAATTTATTAAAGTTTATAAATTATTTTAAACGTGTTGTTTTTATACATATTTAGTTTATTTGAAAATGTTGAGAGATTAGTACTGTTCAAATATAAGTTATAATATGTTTATATATATATATATAAGTATTGCTGAATTTCTATTAATAATCATATCCCTTTTACGATAAACTTTCTTGTAATTTTGCAAAAGAACACTACGTACCTACCGAATAACATTATCAAAATTAAATGTTATATTACGAATTAACAGTGAGGTTCTGGAAACATTGTAAAATTCAAGTTAGATTGGTTTTATAGTCATATTCTGTATGTAGGTTATCAATCTGAAATTCTCTCATAATTATAAAATAAACGGTGTTTTCTGCTGTAGTTGTATTTTTATTACCAATGAATACCTTATATAAAAATCCTACTATGTTAACAACGTCATACGAAGTTCTTTTGGGTTAAAAATTGCACTCGATAAGCATGGTAAATAACTTACAAAACACATTGGTGGGAAGTTCACAAATTTTGCCTTTACAACAAAAAAAAAACAGGCCAAGTGCGAGTTGGACACGCACACGAAGGGTTCCATAGCATTATCTATAATAAGCTAATTGATAGGTACCTATAGGTTGCCTAGCAACTGCCTCGTGCTTGTATGGGAGCCCCCTTAAATATTCTTTTATTTTATTCGGTTTTTTAGTATTTTTTGCTATAGCGGCAACAGAATCCATTCATTGTGAAAATTTTAACTAATTATCACTGATCATGAGATATGTAGCCTGGTGACAGACGGGCAGATAGACAGCGGAGTCTTAGTAATAGGGTCTTGTTTTACCCTTTGGGTACCCTAAAAAATAACGCTATAGCTAAGCCATCGTTCATTGATCGTTCACAAGGGGAAAATGTATGTCGGTATTTATCGTTTCGCTATACAGGGAGGCTTTTCTAAGTATCCATTTTTTTGTTAAATTCTAGACATAAATAATGTTATATAAAAAATGATAAATATTTAAAATCACTAGTAATTAATTAATTACATTCATTTGAACTTATCTCAAAAAGTGCGTGATTTATACGCAACTCGTTTATTTTACGCACGATCATTCATAACTAACAAGCACACAAGTTCGTTTAAAAAGTATATGACGCATTTATGAATGAATACCGCATTGTCAACAAGTTCTGTTTTTTAGGAAATAGAATGGCAACCTCTGAACCTCCTGTGTAAATTTGGGTACCTTTAGAAAAGCCACCATGTATTTAGACACTATCAAGTAAAAATGTTGATATTTTGCCGATTTTTGCATGATCATACAATACATTCCCAAAACATTAAAAATTCGTTAAAATTTTATGAAGCTTCTTCAGTGGTAATCACACATGCAAATGTATGTTTTTAGTTTAGTAACAATTTATTCAAACCAGTATTCATCAGATATTGTATTAGGGCTATGTTTAATGTTTTAAAGTTTTAAATACTTCCATTTTTATGAATTTGCGGCTTCTATCATCGAGTACTGCCACAGTTAAAGCAAGCCTTAGAAACGATTCCGACGAAGCCTTGCAATTTAAGTTTTTCACGGTGACATAAAAAACTGACATTAAATCCTTATAATTTATACAAAATAAACGAAGCGTAAGGATTGTAGCATTAAATATGAAATGACGATTAAAAATATCGATATTATTTTAAGAACAAAGCGATATTTCGATGTATAGAGATTTTGAACCCATCCTTAGTATCTAATTCCACTGTATCACAGAACATATATACTGTATTGTGTGGCTTAAAGGTCTTGTTACCAGGCCATAAAAATCTTTAAAGAAAACTGTATTTCGTTTGCCTTGTTAAATGTCAGTTTATCATAAATAACTTAGTTACAATTTATGTTTTCTTTTAACATTTCTTTTGATTTTGATAATAATAAGAAAAACCAAAAATGAATGCGCCACCTACATTTGAATCATTTCTTTTATACGACGGTGAAAAGAAGTAAGTTTAACATTTTTTACTTCTATTTCCCTTGTAAAATCTTTAATTAACAATTAAAATCACAAATAAACATAATCATATAAATATAAAATTAAATACTATGTTTTAAAGAGTGTCAGGCAGACGGCTGGTCGAAAAAAATATTGCCAAAACCGCTTACAAGATGATTTATATGTTGTGCTGACTCCACCTAGGCAGGAGGATGATGATGTTTTAAAGACTGTTAAATTTTAATTAATTTAAAGACTAAATTAATATAAGAGAACATTGTAAATTTTTCTTATAAAATTTTAGTTACATAAAGAAATTGATAGTGTACTAATGCTAATTTACAGAGTTCAAAAAGAAGAAGACACAAAAGTTACCAATGCTGCTATATTTACTGTCAACAAAGAAGATCATTCACTGGGTAACATGATAAGACAGTAAGATTTTTAAACATTTTGCCCTGTATAAATAATTTTATTTAAAGCACCCAACTATGTTTTTTCTCCAAGTTATTTAAAGGAGTACTTCAAGTTTCTTGGCCATAACCGGCCAGAAACAGTTCTGCGATCCGCTGGAGAACTAATTTTAGAACCACACGCGTATAAAACCAAATATTACAAAAATTCCTTTACAGTCAAGGCTATCTGCTTGTGAAATGAACTACCTCAGTAAATTCGTAGTGCAAAGACGCTAGACAAATTTAAAAATGAGGTAAAGAATCACTATCTTTCCCTCTGTAATCCATAGGTAACATGGACAATATTAATCTATTATACTTTCTTATATTTATTTATGTTAATTGTATATATTATATATTTATTTATGTTTATGTATGTTTATTATAGATTATTTTGTTATTATTAAGTAAGTTTTACGCACAACACCTCCCACTATTCATAAGTTTAATTTTCCTTGTCCTAAGGTCGTCTGGAAGAGATCGCTCTTTGGTGATAAGACTGCCTTATTGTACCTAGCTTTTAAGATTTATTTTATATCAACTGTATAAAACTTTTTGTGTAAAAGTATATATAATAATTTTAATAAAATTTTAGCTGGCTACTACTTTGTTATATGAAATAAAAAAAAAAAATAATGATAGAGAACAGCACCCCGACTCCATGTGGTTTTGTGTTCCCTACCCCTAGTGAACATAAAAAGGCAGAACTAGAACCTCGCGTCAGAGGTCCTCAGCGGCGACATAGGGAGAGTTGTGGCAAAGCACATGGAAGAGATAAATTTAATAATAATTTTTTTAATATTTCTTAAATTCCATTAATTCTCTACTGTTTTTTGTTTATCTTTTGTTTGCTATATCAAAGTAGTAGCCTGCTAAAACGTCTAAAGTAGTTTGCTATACATGCAATAAATTGTGAAAGTATATACAGGTGCTATATTTGATCAGTAGACTATGGATATGTGTGTCAACTTTAAATTGTTGCAGCCAACTTTTAAAGGATCCAAAAGTACTTTTTGCTGGATACAAAGTGCCACATCCACTCGAACATAAATTTGTCTTGCGTATCCAGACAACATCTGACTACACACCTCAAGAGGCGTTTATGAATGCACTTACAGACCTAACATCAGAACTATCTTTATTTGAGGAGCGGTTTAAGGTAGTTTTTGTATATTTTTTTTAATGTGAATAGTTAGCAATTGAGCAGTAGCCCTTCCCTGGATGTGCCTGTCCGTTCACTCAACACCAGTAGCCGCTGCATGACCTACCGCAGTAAAATTATTGGTAATGAGAGATCCTTAATAAAATAATTTGTGATCCTGATTATATTTGAATGAACAGTTTTTACATATTTCAAGTTTTTTAATGATTCAATTGAATATGAAATAATATACCTAAACATCAATGCCATATTTATAAATGCAAAGTATTAAAAATGTAAATAATTTTTTCTTAATCTCTTTAATATTTTGTTTAGATATACTGTATTTTTCTGTTGCAGGAAGCAATTAAGGAGAAGAAAGATGGGTTGGATTAACTTTAATATTAAGATAATAAGTAAAATTTCAATTGTAAGTAATTTTGTACAATAATTTATAAAAAAAACGAATCTTAATTATTCTGCAGTTTTTTTTTTCTTTCAAACATTTAAAGTTAAATAACTGTCAAGTTACGTAAATAGCTATGGAGCTAATTCTATGATTGTTATTTGTTAGACATCCCTCCCTCCAATTCTCAATTTTTCACAATCATACACCGACACATACTTAGATGAATATTGGTTTAGAGTACTTTTTATAATGTGAGTAGGTACGCTCTGGTGATGATGGCACATCTAAGCTTTATCCGACGTACTCTCGTCTTCGTCAATTTCGATTTTCTATGGGACTAGGATTAACAAATTTTCTTTCTTTATCTGTAGTTATTTTATATCATAATTATTTATATAGAAATGTATGTAATGAATTTAAACTTTATATCTGACATAATAATTTTATGACCAATGCTGTTTCAAATTTAATAAAAGTGTATAAGTTATATTTATTTATCACAAAAATTTGTAAAATTGGAATAGGAAATATTTTAAAAATAGCTGTGTACCGACTTCGTCCGCATGGAAATTAAAATAAATAAAATTTCTAAAATAAAAGTAACCAAAGTTACTCCTTATTACATCGACTTTCTACCGGTGAAAGACCCATCAAAATTGGTCCAACCGTTTTAGAGATAAGACGGAACAAACAGACAAAAATTGTAATAAAATATTTTGGTAATATATATACCGTGTAAACTTCCATAAGGCTAAGTAAGAGTCGGGCTCGCGCATGGAGGGTTCCGTATCATTATCTATAAAAACAACAAAAATATCATGTCTTATGGGAGCTCCCTTAAATATATTTTATTTTATTCTGTTTTTTAATATTTGTTGTTATAGCGGCAACAGAAATACATGATATGTATTGATAATTATAGTAATATTAATATAATTAAATATAGTAATATTTCAACTGTCTAACCATCACGGTTTATGAGATACAGCCTGGTGACAGAGAGACAGACAATGGAGTCTTAGGGTCCCGTTTTCCCTTTGGGTACGGAATCCTAAAAAGCGGTTATTTGAATATTACGAACAGACACTTCAATTTTATTTATCTGTATAGACATGTTATGCAGACTACATATATTATGCATATATATATTATGTAGTCTGCATAACATGTCTGCATAACATACTATTGGCTATTTGTGTGGAAGGGGTTAGATAGTAAAGCCTAACAACCAGTGCAACTAGAAGATCTATTGTAGTCTTCTATTGAAAGTTGCCTTTGAAATCGACAACACTGACATTGCAAACTTGGGCCCTCCCAGCTCCCGACAACTAATATTGACATTAATTTTCTACAATAGAGATATTTAATCTGCAATTTTCTTACCATAAAAATTAATATAATCAATAAAATTATATGGCAATTTATATAATAAATAATAGGTATTTTATATAAATATAGGATAGACATACATTATTACTATCGTATTTACATCTCTGTAAAATATGGAAAATAATAGTTATTCATTGTTCGGAATAATTTATTGGTTTTACAAAAGTCTCCATTATATATTTTGGTGTTCATTTTTATCATAATTGTGTTGTAGTCGATATTATACTATAGTGTTAAAAACATGATTGTAATTTATGCTTTAAAACTTTCCTCAATATGTATTATATCCAGATAATGCATATGAGAAAAAATCACCTGATTGAATATAAAATAACATGCTAAATTAAAACTAAAATAAAAAAGATCAATGAATCTTATGTACAAACATTTCCTAAGATATTAACTACAAAACAAGTTATACCTTTAATTGGTAAACAATAATAAATAATACTCATTGCTAAGAGTAACAACAAACAACGGTAACATTAAAACTAGTTTTTAATAAATAGATGTTAAAAAGTTTCTTCTTCGTCACAATCTTCCGTTGCGTGACCAAAAACTGAAACAAATGAGGTGCCATATATTACAGAGATTAAAATATAACAAACACGTTTTGAAGTCATTGCAATGTCGCTAATAATGAGTGTAAAAATATATATGAATTAAACACTAATTAAATTAATTCGTTTTAATATACCTTAACTATACTGGGTTTGGAACCGGAGTTGGGGGGTTCGATTCCCACATGGAACTAGTATTTGTGTGCCACATAAATAAATAATATTTTCAAGATCTGGGTGCTAGTTCCCAAGGTGGATTGACGTCAGGCAGGCCAATCTAAGCAATACCACTACAAATATGATTGTTTATGTGTGTTTTTTTAGGTGAAAAGTTGTTAAGCTAGCAGGCGGTTCAGCTGATGTTAAGTGAATACCGCCGCCCATGGACATGTAAAATACCCGATGGTATGCAGATGATTTGGCAACCTTTAAGAAAATGGGTGCGGATTACCTCACTCACCAGACGAAAAGCGAAAGTTTAATATTTCCACTTCAAACATCTTCTGTGAGGCCGTGGTACTTCCCCGGATGCATTTACTCATTTGTGCAACAGCTGTAGCTGTTATGTGGCCTTACCACAGTTAAAGTATCAGTTAAATAGTATTGCTTAGATTGGCCGAACCCATTTATAAGTATAACCCTTTATAAGAGATAAAAGCATGAGGATAATGATGATGAGATCTTAACCAACGATGATAGATAACAAATAGGTGATGTGTTAGTTTAAGTTAGTTATTTGTAGACATAGTGGCAACTTTCCGGGCGTCCTAAATCAGAATAGATTCTATTGAACTGCAATATTTAGTTTTAATATACTACATATTCAGTAATCTGTTGTATTATTCCCTTCGAAAATTTCCCTTTACTGAATAACGTTAGCCTGTGCTGTAAGAACGTTTTACATACACATACTTCACGTGGACGAACACCCGCATACGAAAAAGTTATGTGCGGATCACAAAAATAGCTTTTCCTGTGTGGGAATCGAACCCACCACGGCTAAGCCAATACCTTGGCGACTGCGCCACGGAGTCATCTATCAATACAGAGGTATATCACCGTAGGTACCTTCGCAAATGTCGCAGTAGGGCCGCGGCGGCGGAGGGGCGCGCGCGGGCGGCGGGGGCGTCGCCGCCTCCTGGCGCGGGCACTCCTCCGTGTCGTGTGAGTCGAAAACGTCGCATATGTCGCAGAAGAGCCGCGGCGCTCGCGTTTTTCGGCCGTTACTGCGGAGAGTTGTATTTGTGGCGTGATAGAAGCGGATATAGTAAATTAAAATCTAAGCGGAAACGGACTTGTAAATACAATGAAAAAAAAAACTATTTTATTAAAGTATATTTCATATTGAAAGTTGTGCAGCGTTCAGTAATATTTTATGAAAGGTAGTTTGGCCGCTTCTATATCCAGCTATAGAAGCTTATCGGGGTGTTCTTCATAAATGAGACCGTAAACCACCCCGCGGTAATACATCCATTTAAAGCACGGTTTTAATCATTGGGGAAAGAGAAGCGTAGGTTAGTTGCATCACTAACGCCCGGTTTCTGAAACACTGATCATCGTAGAAGTCTGGCGATGTTCTTCATAATGATCAGAATGACAAATTCAAAGAGTTTACCAATCAATTTCGCAACTCAAATAAATTTGAAATGCCATTTGACAGGTGATTAGTTGACTTCTATGATGATCAGTGTTTCAGAAACCGAGCTTAAGTATTATGAAATAACTCAAAGATTGACGTCTTAGGTTGCTGAGCATGTTGCCCTATCGTCATCATAAACATCGCACGCCAAAAGGATTCTAACCCGGAATAATAAATTGCTGACGCAATAATATGGGATTGTTATCAAATCTTAATAGGTTTAATTTTGTTCAAACAGAATGTTAAAATGTTCAAACAGAATGTTAAAAGATGACAATTGAAACTTACAAAAGCGGCGGTTCGTCGGGCGATGTGCCGCCTTCCAGTGCTTGGACTCTAGCCATTAGCTGCTCGTTTTTACGTTGCATGTCAACGATTACCGAATTCAAGAAACTGACTTGGCCGTCTATAGTTTCTTTATCATCTTGAATTCTATTTTAAAAAGAGAAGTGATAAAAATATTTCAATTTCTTAACATAGTTCTTTTGATATTTAAAGCAATTTATTATTATTTTTTACTACTCAATAGTCAATTAATAAAATGCAATTTTAATATTAAACTTACGTCGTGGTATCTCCTTGTCCCAAAGTGCCCATAGCGTCATTATCATTTTTGTCTCTTAAGTTTTTACCAATTAAAGCCATTTCCTTTTGCATTAAAAGTTTTTCTCTTTCCGCCATTTCCACTTTGATTTTGTTATTCTGTAAATTTAACGTAAGTATTAAAACATTTTTGCCTATCATTTATAAAATTTATATTAATAAAATATACATTTTTTTACCTTCAGATCTTCCTGCAGCTTTGTTATAGTTTCATCTTTTTCTTTTAAATTCTTAATTTTCTTCTCAATTTCCGTTTTAAGATTATTTATTGTCATTTCACTATTCGCCAAACTATCGGCACTTAATTTTCTTGCTGCCTGTAATTCAATGGTCAACTTTTCTAATCTTTCGTCTTTGTTCCCTTCACTAGTCTGTTGGACTGTTATCAATTCTAATTTTTCTGATAATTCTAATATTCTCTTTTCAGAGTCCACAAGTTTGCTTTGGAGCTGATTTTGTATTCCTATTTCTGCTTTAAGTTTGTCCTTTGTTTCTTGAAGCTGTTTCTCGTAATCATGTACTGTATTATTTAATTCGTGCCTTAAGTTTTTGTTCTCCTTTTTATATTCATTGAACTGCACTTGAAGTTGGTTGTTCAGATCTTCGTAGTTTAACTTTTGTCCTTCATTGATATTTGTCAATTTCCTGATATCACTTTCGGATTTTTCTAGTAATTGTTGTAGTTCAATAATTTTTTCCTCTGTTTTTTGTAGGGTCTCTATTTCTTTTTCTTTTTCAGATATTGTATTTTTTAACGATTTTGTCTCATTTGTAAGTGTTTCAATTTCACTTTTGTGCTTTTCCTTCAACTGTTCACTTTCCGTTTGTAGCACCTTAAAAGCTTGCTGCGTTTCATCAGAACCTGATGTTAAAGACTCTTTTAATTTCAACAGTTGTTTTTCGTTTTCTTCTATAATTTTATCTTTGTTAATCAATTTCGTTTTTATATCAGCTATTTCTTCTTCTAACTTTTTGAATTTTACCGAATCAGTGTTAATTTGTTCAATATAATTCTGAATTAATTTTTCTTTTTTCTCAACTTCCTTCGACAGATTTGTCGTCATGTTCATATTTTCTTTTAGCTTATTTTCAGCATCCTCCGATTTGACTCTTAATTGGGCGAGCTCAGTTGATGCATCATTTAGTTTTGATTCTAAAATTGTTTTTTCATTATTAATTATCGATATTTCTTTTTTTACTGACTCCATTTGATCTAGTTGCTCTTTTAATATTGATTCTTCAGCTGATGCATTGCTTAACAAATTTTCATATTTTTGTTTTATTGTCAATGTTTCTAATGATAAGTTATTATGTTGTTCTTCTAACTTTTGTTTGTTTTCTGTCACTTTACTTAGCTCTTCTTTTACTTGTGCCAATTGCCGTTCTTTTTCGGTAACTAATTCTACATTTGATTTAACATCAATTTCCATCATTTCCAATTTCAGACTTAAATCTTTTATTACATTTTGCTTTTCTTCTAAAACTTCGTTTATTTTCTGTTCCTCCGCCTTATATTTATTTAATTCGTCATTCACTGAGGACAGTTGATCTTGGACTTGAAGAATTTCTTTTTGGTGCTGAACTGTTTGATTGTTCATTTGCGCTGTCATGTCGTCTAATATTTTTTGTAAGGAATCTTCATGTTTTCTCGCTTCTTCTAGTTTATTATTTAAGTCATTTTGTGCTTCTGTAAGTTGATCGACTTTCTCCATTAATTTCACCTCTGATGTCGCACCCTCAGCTTTTAGTATTGATACTTCTTCCTTATATCTGTCAATTTCCAATTCTAACTTTTTACGTATGGCTTCATACTCTACATTTATTTCCTGTTCTTTTATTTTAAGACTCTCTATTTCTCTTTTAAGAATAGAGTTTTCATCTAACAGTGAATCGTTTTGATTCTCTATTTCTTTTATACGATTGTTTGCTTCATTTACGTGAATTTCAAAATCTTTAATTTTGTTTTCTACGGTTTTATATTTTTCAACATTTTCGTTAATAGAATCTAATAATTGACCACGTTCTACTGAAAAATCTTCCTGCAATTTAAATAGTTTTTGTTTCAGTTCTTGTTCTGTTCGTCCGTAATTATTACTAACTTCCCTATGTTTATTTCTCAACTCTTGCAGTTCATTTTCAGTATCTTTTAGGTGCTGCGATAATTTATTGAACTGTTCATTTGAGTCTGTTGTTTGTCCTGTGAGGCTCATATATTCTTTCTCTACTTTTTCTTTTGAAGTCTGTAACTCTTCACATTTTTCAATGCTGCCATTTAATTGGCGCTTCAGTTCTCCAATTTCTAGTTCCATAGTAGACATCTTTTCTTTCAATTCATTATGGACTCTGGTTAATTCGTCTAGAGAATGTTTTAAACGTTCATTTTCCTGTTTTAAAGCTTTTAATTCGTCAACGTTAAGAGTAAATTTAGTGTTAAGAGTATCTAGTTCAACTTTGCTTTCATCTAAAGCAAGTTTTTGGCCTTCGATTTCTTTTATAAGTTGTTCTATTTTTAAATTTCGGTCATCAATTTCTTTTTTATGTTCTTCAGCAATTTTACTATGTTTAATATTAAAATTAGCTGTAGTTTGCTCAAAGTCATCTTTAAGTTTTATAATTTCCTTGTCTCTTTCATGAAGTGTTTGTTTATACTCATTAATTAATTTTTCACTAGCGTGAGACGATTCAGTTGACTCGGAAAGTAATTTTTCGTAGTCTTTTGTCTTAGAATGTAAACTTTGTTGCAATTTCAATATTTCTGCTCTGTTCTTCTCGTTTTGTTGAGCCGTTTCAGCAAAGAAACTTTCGTACTCATTCACTTTATTTGTTAACTCTTCTTTGACTTCACTTATTGCATCTTGTAAACTCTTGTTTGCAGTCTCTTGTTTTTTCCTTAAATCTTCTAATTGTTCAATGTCTAAAATTCTTGCGCTTAACTCCATTTTTAATTTAGTTATTTCTTTATTAAGACTTACTTCATGTTCTTTGCTCGTTCCCAGAACTGTAATTTAATTTAGAGATTTAATTACTCAACTGATCACATTTACGGCATTTGTAAAAATATTGCATAATATGCGAAAATGTGGTTACTTACCCTTATTTAACTCTAGTGCTTTGTCATCAAGTGCTGCTTGTAGCTGACTTATTTTAGTATTGAGATCAATCACTGTTTGGCTGTTCTCTTTATTAAGCCTTTCCACGTTCTGTTTCTCTGCGTCGAGTTTGGATTCGGCTAGTTGCAATTTGGCTGTCAATACGGAGACTTGAGTTTCAAATTCTGTTTGGGCTATAGCAATTTTAGTTTTGGCCTCGTTTAACGCCTTTTCTGAATCTAATTTAAGTCTAGATAACTCTTCTGACATACTCTTTCCTAAGGAATCTTTCTCATTTTCTTTTTCTTTTAGAAGAGCATATGCTTCATCCAATAATTTCTGCAGTTCCGATGATAAGGCTGAAATAAAATTTTCGCTATAAAACACAATCCATCTTACATTCCACCATGAAAATATTATAAAATGAATAAGTCTAAAGACGATACTAAATAATTAATTCTATTAAAGCTTACTATGCGCGGCTGACAATTCTTCTTTATGTTGTTCAGCCATTGTGGCAATTTCAGAACTGCGTTGGTCTTCTAAAACTTTAAGCGCTGCTGCCGTAGTTTCGGCTCTTGCAGCCTGAAGTGCTATTTCGGCCTCAAGCTCTCTGATGTGTTGCTCTCTAGCCGCTTTCTCTTGCTGCAATTATAAAGAGGTGGCAGAAATTGAAACATAGCAGGAATTTTTATGGGTTCGAGTCACATTGGTGGTTTTTTTTTTGTCTATGTACGACGAAAAGGCTAACCATGCCCCGGTTGAATTACTCCCAACATGCATCATGAATCAAAGTCTACCTCGTAATATTAAATAGGTGAGGGCATATTTTTTACATTACTAATTTTAAAGTTTAAGTGTTCGATTTAAATAGATCGATGCCTAGTAGACAAATTTCGTGATAAAAAATTATAAATACTCATTGCTGAGTTGAATACTTAATACGAAAAGATTCGTAGCGTTTAACTGAAAAAACATGTTAGAAAAATGCTTACCTCCATCGCCTCTTTGTATCTCTGAAAAAAAGTTATATTCATTACTTCAATATGTATAATTTGTAAACAGGAAAACAAACTCACTCAAGGCAAGACATTATAATCTTACATTATAATCCTCTCTATTGATATTTTCTTCTTCGTTACGGAACATGAGATCTTCGACCTTCTGTCTTTCGTCCTCCAGCATTTTGTTGAGCTTGTCCAATTCAACCTTGAGCTTCGCATTTTCGGTGTTTGTCTGAAGTAAAAATTTGAATGTTTCACATTTAGTAATTTTGTTAAAAATCATCAAATAAGTTTAATAATCGTTCATAATTACTATTCACATGATTCCACATTCATAATTACTACAAACAATTATTAATTATATGAGAGTGACGCGAAACGAACTTAGATTGTCCGAGTTCTTTGGAGATCTGTAACGAACAGCGAGCATTAAATGCTTACTTATTCCCTCTCCCATTTTTATCTTATTCTACTTCACACATTATCTTATTTTATTTACGGCAATTAGGTTGTCGTTTATACCTAAATAATTAATTGTTTTATGTAAAAGTATGTACCTGTGTGGCTTCCCTTTTAACTAGTTCTAAAGCGTTCTCCGCTCTCTCCACCTGAAGGGACACTCTGGCAATCTCGGCTCGCTCCAATTCCCGCTCGCGCATTAACCGCTCCAGATGATGTTGCTTCTCGCGCAATAGCTCCTATTACGGAATTGAAATTAAAACAAATTAGGTTGTACATATCAATAATTAGAATTTTCTGTATATTTTATTACAAGTAGTAAAAATAACCTAAATGTAAGACACAGAACAGCACAATTTCCGCAATAAACCGTATTCTTATTTAATTACAATATAAACACGTGAAATTGTAAATTAAAACTATTTAAATTAAACTATTACAAACAAATACAAAGTTCCATCATTTTAAACTAGATATTTCAAATGAAGTTTTAACATTATCAGTTTTATAACATATAACTTAATGAAAAGCTTAAGAAATTCTATTAATACATTATACACACAGCATATTGTTTCTTGATTGGCGTACGATTAGTTGACATCGAGAAGCATTATGATAATTGAGCTTTAAAAGGCGCAGTGAATAAATTATAGCGTATTCGATCGATGTGGGTAACGGTCCTAATTATAATTATTATTCAAGTCGTATACCTACATAATTCATCATAACGTATTAATTTGATGTTACAATAATGACGCATTAATAAATATTTAAGTAGAAATAACTGCAATAAACACTTCTTTTACAGATTGTTGGATCATCATATTACCAACATAAATCACAATCGACACCGTATTCTCATTCGCAACAATCATACTTTTTTGCAACTTTGAGGAAATCGCGGACATTTCGTCCAATTTTTCAATAGTTTTTAAAAAAATACGTTGTTTTAAAAGAGTTCTTCCATCTATTTGATTTTTGAAAAATTGGCAAGCGAGCAGGCGGTTCACCGGATTTTAAATGATGACCATCAACCAAACAGCCTTTACGTTGATTTCGACAACCTGATTGACGCAGTGGGTAGTGACGTGCCTCTTGCGCCAGAGCGTGTCGGTTCGACCTACCACTGGAAAAATATTGCGTGACGAACATAGCATTTTTCCAGTGTCTGGGTGTTTATATATTTATTTACAAAAGAAAAGTATATTTATCAGTTATCTAGTACCCATACTAAGCGATACTTTGTTTGGGACTAGAAAACGTTGTGTAAAAATGTGTCCTAAATTTATTAAACTAATTAATTTATTATTTATTTAAAAAGCAGGCCCCGGAAACATTACACACACTATTAAACGTGAGACGCGTTTGATACTTCCTCGAGACGTTCCCCTGATGAGTCTGGCCTGCTGTTGCAAGAGATGCTGTGTGTGGCCCTACCATGTAGGTACTATCTTTTAAGAGGATTTCATGATTTTCGCTTTTGAAGTGATAAAGGAGCTATTTACAAACAAACAAAACAAAAACAAACTGTTGTTGCTATTGTGCTGTTATGTCTAATAGCTTAGCATTTCCGAGAAATTACGACATCAAAAGCATAAGAATGCTAACGCAGGGCATATTAACGCCCTCCTACACTGCTCTGGTTGCTAATTGGCCGTCACCGATACCACATCATGACGGAATTGCTCCTACTGTTACAATATATAACCAAATCAGCTTCAAACACTAAAGCGAGCCAAAATCATTCCAATCAAGTAAAACTTTTCTGCTAGTAGTAAATTTCATAGATTTTATAAAAGAGGGGAAGGCGTGGGCAGAAGCGTACGCGGTAAATCGTCCACGAGATGAACAGGTCGAATGAAGATCGTCACATGTATAAATGTACGATGGGCAACTAACTCTAAAAAGTAAATTGTGAAGCATCATAAACTTGTTGACGTACGAACTACTAGTTCTAACTCCTAATAAGAATGAAGGATTGCGTTATTAACATAGCTTACGGATAGAATCAAACCAATTCGATGAGAAATCATCAAGACCTATTTTAACTTCTTATAAGGAATTGCTACAGAAGGATGTAGCTCTTTTTGCTTCTAATTTGCTGTTGACGGCGATGAAACTGGCAATGAGACAAGTTTCTTGCGCGCTAACAAAAACTTTAAATTACTTCTTATCGGGAATGTTAATAAAGCGAATACTTCGGCGTAAACGACAAAAACTTTCTTCGAATTATTATTCCTTCAAGCGCTTCTTCGGTATTTGTGTAAGTGGCGGGTGACTAATTTATATGCCAATTCTGAGTTATCAAAATAAATAATTAAGTTCTAAACCTAAACCGTGTTTTACGAAACTGCTCAATGCTTAGTAAAAAAATAATGATTTAATTTTGAAAAAAGTTTGCTCTACTCAAAATAATCCGAAGTAAATTGACAGCGAAAATAATGTAATTTATGAAATTGTTTTACTGTGACCATCTTATTAATAAAGCGGAAGTGAACTAATCGATTCAATGGAACTCAAATCTGCAAACAAAATACACAATTCCGCGTTTTTATATATTAAAAGTCTAAAAAAATTGGAATATTAAAAGTGGATTTAACTAGATTCCCTTATTTGATATAAAGCTTACCTTTCTATTTATTTAGGCAATTTTTCAAAGGTCTTAAAATAAAGTTTAATATCGGCCTTATAGTATTGCCAATAACGGCTTTTTATATATACAATGATCAGTTCAGCATATTCATAAAAATCATAACACTAGAACCAAAGATCCCACAACCTTAAAATTCGAAGCATTCAATCCGAAAATGATGTCAACGCCCTCATAAAGCATTTTACAAAAAGCTTTCATAATATTAAGAGTATTCGCATGGTCTTGTTTCTTTAAAGGAAATTCCAAAGTAGCGTAGCATTTATATAAAAAATTCTCTGTCATTTATATAAAAAATTTCGTCTTTACAAATTACTTTTGACCCTATGTATATTCCTGAAGTGATTTGTCGTTGAAACTTGGCCATCCAAAATATTCAAGGCTATCTTACAAAGTACCTATTCCCTGTAATCAGTCTTATTTACGACCATTAAATAACTTTATTGAACAAACTATACGGACTAATTTCCGCTATTTACAAGTTACAAAATATTTTCGGGTAGCACGTATCCAGCAGGGATACTCCACATCCAGGCATCAAACTTGAACAACAGACATGCCGTCGCACGTGCAATAATTAGTGGGCAATAAAACCACAGCAGTTAGGTAAAGGTTATACTTTATTATGTCGCAGATACAAATGGAGGATTGAATAATAAGACATCACACGTTCGACACAGTTTATTAATCTTAAACGTTACGTTTAATTCCTTTTTTTTATTCATACATTAAGTTTATCATTAGTATGTAGCCTAAAGAAAAAGTGTTAAGAAGTATACAGACACGACACGTATTTTAAGTTAAGAAATTAGTTTTTAGAAGTACCATTACATTTTATTCATTAATAGATAACTGCGTTTGTTATGTTTACTATTCTTAAAAATAATATCTAATGTGCATTATTCATGTCTGTACAGATCTTTGCACTGCCTAAAACTATGTAACTAATTAAGTCGTTTTACAAAGACTTTATTATAAGGTACAATATTAAAAAGGAATACTTAAATATCAAATGAGTCCTTACACATTAAGTCTGAATATCATCGAATCTTACAGGCACTGGTTTTTTTTTATCTATAAATAAGCACAATAAATAATTTTCGAAAATAAATCGTAGCAAAGTGTACAATTAGAGTAAATAAATTATGCGAAGGGTTTTAAAATCAAACGATATCACAGTTTTTGCCGTTTACAAAATATGCTACATAGAAACTTTTAATCTTTACATCTATCACAAATGATCACATTATAAAGCCTAGATTTTGTAAACAGAATCTGGATTATTGCGGAACATGATTCATTGATTTCTTTGTACTTCACTGTGCATAGTTTACGTATAATATTAATAAGAGAAAATATATAAGAAAAAATCTGGAATGTAAGCTTCTAAGTTTAATAATGTTAGACACTTAGTAAAAAAAAAAAACTATCTTAAAAATTATAAACGTTAAACAAAATCACGCAGAAAATCGTTAGATGCGTTAGAAAATAAAAACATTTAAAAACTTAAAACAAATGCATTTTTAAAAGTTATTTTATAATATAAGCCCCCATTATTATAACGCGTTAGTCGGTTCGTGGAACACACCCTTGCGCTAGACATCAAAAGAAATGAAAGCATTCTTGTTCTTACGCAGTGTGCAACCTTGTTTACGATAATAGTTTGGCGAACTCGAGTTGCGATATAAAATTTGGTCACAAAGAAGGCGGATAAAATACCAATGTTTTCTAGTTTGCATTCAAATTAATGCAATGAGATCGAAATCTGTTAGCTAAAAAGTTTACGAGCTTGATAATTCGTTACATCAGTTTTCATTTTCGTTACAACATAAACAAGGAAACCAGATAGTCTTTTGATAGGAAGCCCAAACGTGTATAATAACGAATCCGCCGATCGCCTCACTTTCGGTAGTCGATCACGCACCATGCTCACATTGTCACGATAGAGAACCGTACAACTCTAATATAGGGATGGGATAGCGTGTATTTTTATTTGGTAATTATTTGGTACGCCCCTTGCTCACTAACTACCGAGACGCTGGTTCCGGGTGATGTTTTTTTTTTATTTTTATTTCGAACTGGCCAGCACTTGACTGCCATCCCACCTGATGTCAACGATTAGCTCGGTACGGTGCTCGACGGTGAGGTGAGCATGGCGGGTGCCGATACCCAACAGTGGGCGCTACGGTCTACCGCGCCGCAATAGTGGGATACCGTACCTGCAACGCGTTCTTGGCGCTGACCGGCGTGGAGGAGGCCCTCGGACCGGCCCGCTGACGTGCCGTTAGTCACATTGCGAACGCGCAAACGGGCACGTGCGTGGGGGGAGGGGGAGAGAAAACAAAACACAACCCGTTAACGCACTCAGTTCCCTCTGCGTCTACTCACTACGCCACAACTCCGAGGCGTGGACAAAAATAGAAGTTCGATACAAGCAAATGTAAGTAACAAAGGCTGAGGGCATTAATAAGGGCGCATACCGACAAATGACCCAAATAAATTGGCACAAAGAAATTACGATGAAACTGCGAGAGAGATCGTTCCGTATCGAAATTCTAATTTTGCAGTCGCGCAGTACAGTGGCCTCAATGCAAATCGAGGTTCGATTCGCCGTTGCATTGAGATCAATGGACAGTTGTTCTATTAAGTTTTGTTTTTTTAGTATTTTGTTCTATTAAGTTTTGAAAATAATAGTGTGATATTATAAATGCGAGGTATATTTATAATTTTTGATTAGTTAAAAGGCTGTAAGTTAGCGTTTAATACAACAACCGTCCAAAATATTTGCAAAATATAATGTTAAAATAAAACGTTAAGCATTTTTGAATAAAGTTACTGTCGAATCGATTGACAAAAATATTTATCTACAAGCGAAAGTGATTCAAAAAATGTTGACCAAAGATTTGCCTAGCCTTTAATTTACTTGGAAAGCGTTGCAACTCATGGAATGATTAAGTTATTAAGATATTTTATAAGAATCAATAAAACTAATCTTTGGCAATAACTTTATTTTCGAGTGTGAAATCATAGCCGAATGAGAATAAATTGTTAGGCACACTAATATAAGACATGTTAATCTAACATACATAGATAAATGTAACATGTGTCCAATAGGAGTTCTTAAAAATAATATCACAGATAAATTATAATAGACTACTACGATATGACTACGACAGTCTCTTGCTAATGGAGCGTGGAATGAACGAAAGCATGTTAAAAGAAACTTGGTACTATATGTGAGAAGATTTCATTGGCGAATCTCATCAATAAACGAATATTAAAACAGAAAATGGTGTGCTATAAAAATAATATTAAATAAATTGGGTAATAAAAAATAATTACAAGGGCCAAACCAAGGGGTGCCAGCTACAAACAAAAAAGGAACCGATGCACATGCACTTGAAGCAGACTACGTTGTACCATTTCTCTTACGGGTCTACCGTTATAATGTATAATTATTGAACAATACGCAATTTAATGAATGCCACTCGAAGTATACTGTAGGGGACGGAGATAGAAAAGCGTTCGGGCGCATTTCGAAAGTGTTGTTCAGATTTCATAGCAAAAGCGGACGCACAAGTGAGACGTGGTAAAATCGTTTTATGAGGTCGCGAAAGGTTCCGTAAATTACTAGCTTAATGTAACGCCAGTCGCGCCCCTTTAAGAGATTCGCTGTAAGCACCGATGACTACACGTATTTGGCCGGCGTGCTGTGAGACTATATATGCAGACTGCTCGCTCTGCTCCAAAATCAGCCGCGCTGCATGAGTGACGAAGCGTCTGAAGCGCTCAAATGTACACCACGTAGGGATAGGTGAACTGGAAAGGGGACACGCAAGAGAAATGGTAACTCTTGCCGAATCCGGAGAAGTGAGTGCGCGGCGGCGGCATGTCGACAAACAGGTCGCCGGCGACCCTGCGGCTGGCCCTCGTCACGGCGGCCGGCCGGCCCCCCACTCGGACGACCTCACTCGCGGACGCCACCCCGCTGGAGCCACTCGACTCGCTGCGCCGTGATCGCTCGAAGCTCAACACGCTCTCCGAGCACCGCCACGACTTGGGCAGCGTGTCACTGGACCACCTGCGGGCCCTGAGTTCGTTGCACTTGGGCTCGGAGCGGAATACCAGGTCGTAGTAGACGCGCGGCGTGGGAACAGCGATCACGGCGCAGCGGTCGCGCTCCACGTGCTTCACGAGCAGGGTCTTGTCGTGGAGGTTGGGCGCGGAGCGGTGCGGCTCGGCCGACCGCGCGCGAGGCTAGCCTACCTGAGCGCCGAGCGACGTCACGCCGAGCCTCACCCCCACGCGCGACGACGCCACCGAGGTGCCGAGCGACGTCAGCGACTCCCGCGAGTTGGAGCGCCTCACGGGCGTCGCGCGCCCGTTGCTGTGGATCGCGCACGCGCCCGGCTTCCGGTTCGACGGCGACTTGGACACCTTCGCGATCGGCGCGAACAACCCGAAGCGCGGCGCGCACTCGAAGTACCTGCGAACGGCAGCCGGCGAACATTACAGCGTAACGACGTGTGCAGAAATTGGGGTTCAACCGAGTTTCACTTGTTTTCTGAGAGGGCTGAAGCCTCAAATTCGACAATGCCATATTATGTGATGAATAACAACAGTTTGTTACTTCAATGTACTTACCTTTACATTTGATAAGAGTGATATCTATTACATACCGAAAGCATTTTAACCAAAATTGAAGCTTCGGCCCTCTGAGACGAGAGTGCACATTCGAACGGTTTCCAAACCAACCTCTTGCCATCAACCGAACCATCATTCTTTCCTAGAGGATCATCGAGTTCAACGCCTGCCCACACACCAGACGCGAATTCAGTTACACCGACGTATCGTAAAGCGCCAGCTTTACTGCCTCGGCTGCTCGACACTATAACACGATCACCCAGGCGGAGTTCTCCGTTGGTCGTGGTCGAAATCGAAGCATCTAAAAAGCGATGCGAAAGTTAGCGTTTTTAATCACAGGTGATTAATAAGCATTTATTGTTAAGGACTCACTCATTTTACTGCTAACGACACTGCGTACGCTTCCATTGGGAGAGAGTGTACGCCTGGGTCTAGCGGCACCAGACGGTGGTCGTTCGAAGACGCTTCCGGCATCAGAGATCGGCGATGCGTCATGTGGGCCATGAGTTACAAGCGGTGTTCGGGTCAAACGTGTCAGACGAGAGAAAACGCCACGCTTTTCAGGACATTGGAAATAACGGACACCCGCAACTGAGCCGTCATTTTTGCCTAAAAACAAACTTTTTTATAGGAGTTGCGACGGTCACTTCGGTAACTTCAGTATCGACGCTTACCGATTGGATCGTCGAGAACGATACCGGCCCAATCCCCAGGAGCGAATTGAGTCTCACCGATATACGCGATTTGACCAGGCTTGGTACCACCTACCCAGACTCGCTCGCCGATTATAAAACTATCAGTGTCTTCAGTTAATATGACGCTGTGATCTGCAATGTTAAAACGCGCAATGAGTCGGGTAATATATAGAATTTCTCTTTAAGATAAATAGAGACAGTAACGGAGGATACATTTTATGGACATCTGCATATGGATGCCCCTTTTTGCTTTCCTTGAGCAAACACCTCGCGCACGAATTGAATAACGTTGTTTGCAATTGCACATCAAACGGTCGTTTACATTCTGGCATACATACATTTCAACGTTTTGCTTTTAAACCGTGGACTTTCGCTTTAGTTGCGTCACGCGAAACAAACTGCATTTGACTTCGATGCGATTTAACTATTTCTAAGATAGCATGCAGCAACTAATCGTCCATGCCGGAGCTACAGATAAATGAGAGCGATTCGCAATGAACTGGTGACAGGTTCCAAAGCGCATGTGTAGGCGATCTACGAGAGCGTGAGCAACGTAATTATGATAATACATTTATATTCATATAATTTCCACGATAAAGCTTTGCATTAGATACTTGAACTTATATTTGTGACATGAATGTGGTTTGAATACGATGTAGTGAAGTGCGACAAAACTTGCCTGAGGACCTCCTAAGGCCAGCCTCGCTGAGGCGACGCGGGTGCTTCTCCCAGAGAGCGTCCATCGATGTGCCGCTGAATGTGCTGCTAGCGGCTACATACATAAGTGACACACACAAACATTAGCCACTACTAACCAGCGCACACCATGCCACTGATAGCTAACACAAACAAATCAAAGAAAACACGGTATTTTTAAATAGTGGAATTAATTGGTCGTGTCAGTAGGTTTAATAAGATTATTCATCCACTATTTTACGAGATATGTTAATGTAATTACTTTTTATTGACGATTTACTCAGATAAGATAAGTATCGAATAGCATGTCACAAAGAAAAAAATAAATGTCGGATGTAATAAATACATCAAAACAATGCCGCTAATTAGGAAGCCAAATGTTTTAGGAACGGTCGTAGGTGTTACCCAATATTAACATTCTTCAAACAGCAGCGCAAAAACTACGAACGCAGCTTTGAGGTTTTTTTGTTATTGTTTGTGATTAACTCGTCATGCAGCATTGTACAATTTTACTTTTTAGTTTGAGTGTGTAAATCAACATGTGTTTGTATTTTTTATAATGCATCATTAAATAACTGTTATGTAACTGTGGCTGGTTAGGAATGTTGTTTCTATTTTCCGTCACCTTACTAGCTACGAAATGTCGAATGCAAATTAATATAGCGTGCCTCCCACCTATTTATGCCACAAGCGACATCAACAGAAATTTTAACCTTTTTGCTGATAATATGACATTAAGCGTCAGTTTCGTGACTAGCAAAAAGGTTTGCGGCAATACTACTTCGTGCCTCACAAATGTATCTAATCTATTAGTGAGATGAACTTACTAGATGCCTTTCTAAACGTGCGGTGTTTATCTGGTAGACTGCTGGTTACCTCGTCTTCTTCGTCTTCGATTAGGTCTGCTCCACGGAGTGCAGAAGCGTGACATAATTGTGAAATGTGACTTTAAATATGTACAGATTGAAAAAAAGCCATGACATGATGATACATCCATGATTATAAAAAAATGCGTAAAGTTGCTAGTAGACACATATCATGCTTCACTATCGAACTTTCTGCCAATTTTTTAAAATAAAAACAGAACTTACCTGATAAGTGTTTTCGTGAAAAGTCCTCACTCGATTTCCTCAGCGTGTCGGATGAGCTGCCGTCTATGACAACAAAAAAACGTAAACACGTAAAGCACAAAAAGAAGAACTAAACACATATCTACAAAAAATGTTGGAAGTATACCGTGATAATACAGACGTACAAAGAGCAAATTGAATTAAATTACATAGCGCACGATACAAAATGATTGAAGATGATTGAAATGTCATGGTATGTTCTTATGATGTCTTTCAGTGACTTTGAAGTCAATGATAGCATAACTGTGAACGTGTTTTATTATAATTTATACCTATATGCATATTAATCTTTAACAAAAACAAAATAAAGAAACAACTGGTACAATGAAAATAAAAGTTTGCCGGCGTCGTCTTGAGGGCTTTAGGAACACTTCGACAAGTCGCGGGTGTGATAACACTTACGGGACGAGTGAGACGCGACGGCGGCCGGTTGCTTCTGACTCGTGTCCGGCACTGATCGGCTTGGAGTTGATTAATCATCTGTGACAACTGCGCAACGTGCTGACCTTGCGCCGCGCGTGGGTTTTCGATTCATAACTATCGTGTTAATCCGAGGATCATCATGGTCCCACTAACGCCCTACCTACATACATATTTCACCCGATCAGAAAACTCACGGACTACCTGCCGCAGTCTCAAACATTAGAATTAATCATAACTATGTAATGTTTAGGTTTCTGAATAAAGTTTTTCTTTTAATGATGAATTATATTTTAATTCCAATAAAACTCTCACTAAACTCTCCGAGAGCGACAGTGAACCTATAGTTTTCGAAGCCACAACGTGCGTTTTAGCCTAATGACCGAAGTAGGTACTGTAGGATTTTTCCTCGACGCGAAGTTGAGCACACGATTTGCGTGTTTCTACAAGATGTCGTTGGATTATTATCAGCGTTATAACGTTTTTGTTTCACAGTAATAAGACAGACTTGCGCACTTAACCGAGTAACTATATTTTCTTCAGCTTTTCTTACGTAAACAGTTAATTTTGAAATCGTATAAAGTTTTGCGTAACAGTTTAACAGTTTATTTAAACAAATATGCTGTTTTCATCCAGTAGTTTTACCGTAAATATGAAACTAAAGTTTACATTTACATCATTTTTTTTTTATGTGAGAAGGTTCTAGCAGTTCACCAGGTGGTAAGTGATATCCGCCACCCATGGACATTTGCATCACCCGACCCGTAGTAGGGTTGCAGATGCGTTGTGCTCCGGTTACCTCACTCACCTCACCCGACGAATCGCAGAAGTATACCACCTCCACTTCACGCCGGTGTTCAGTGAGGTCGTGGCACTTCCCCGGAAGGACCTGTCCATTCGTGCAACAGCGAAGACTTGCGTGCCCCTATCTCATCTATTTATGTTTATAAGATTGCTATACTAGGCTCTTCATCAGGTTAGACAAGAAATAAATAAACCAATATCGAATTTTAGATAAAAAGAATTCCAACATGAACATGAACATTAACTCAATTGTTTCTACATCATCAACTGTAATTGTGGTCACTTTGCATAACAAGTCGAATTTTTCACGTTTGTCTGCAAATTACAGAGTTTCTTGTAACTGTACGAGAACATACATTATAAATGTAAAATGACTTACCGACAATTAGAATGCAAATTAGCCGAAATGACTGAGACATGTGGCAGTAGCGTAATAAATTACGCATTCCAAACTAAAACAATATTAGGTTCCAAATTTCCTGTTATACTTAAATAAAACTATTTTACGTACATTTCGAACACTCGATAGCGTTCATGGTTACGATACAGACCAAACGTAATATTCACATAAATACAAGAAGTCATTGACTGTATATTACTTTATTGGCCTTGGATATCATCTGCCGGGAGAAAATAACAACGAGGGTAAACAAACGAACGCTTAAGGGAGAGAAGTAGAGACATGTGCCCGCCTGCTATGTCCATCATAAATTAATTACTTATTTTTAATATAAACATTATGTAGTAATCTATTTCTATACAATGATGCTTGTATTATTGTTCCGCTTTACATTACACACAATTACGACCACGGATATCTTCATTAATGAGCCTTAACACTTCTTTTGATTTTCCACTTTATACAAACAAGCCTTTTCTACTATGAATGACAATTTAATAAATTATATCATAAACCCTAAATGTGATTGTCGGATGTGGGATATGCGACGAAAATGGAATTGGCGACAGCGCAATTTAATCACAATACTATCGCTTTAACCGAACGAATCGCGAGTCGTAATACTTAAATTTAAAGGAACGATAAACGATAACGTCTATATTTGTGGCAACGCACGGTTTCGCTTAAAAGCGATGATGTAATTATTCTTCGCGAGTACGGCGATTATTTATCGATTTCATTAACGAGTGAGCGCTTGACTGCGCACTGCGGTCGAAACGTCCGAAACGACATTTCGGTGGTCAAGTTCAAGTGTACGTCTATTATGATCGTGGACGTTTCTAGAAATGCAAACAAATACAACTAATACAAACTATAATTTGTTTCGTAATAAAATGAAAAATGCTTGCATAATTTAAAACATTTACCAAACGTTTTCTCACTGATTAAAGATAGATAGTTAAGGCGAACTGTCCTTTGTTAGCTTCAGATCTTATTTTAAAACAATTATAAAATTGAAGTGTATTGGATACAAAGGAGGATGTACAATTTTTTGTACTTAAAAATTATAAAATCTTGTGATTTAGATATTGAAATTAATCAACTTTAATATTTTTTTTGATATACTAAGTTTTGAACACTACAACCACGGCGAATAGACTTGCTGCGAAATTTTAATAATTTTGTATCACATTCTGTAATTACCATATAAAATTAAATATAAAAACACCAACAGTCTATTTCTCAAGCACACTAGATACGCTAGTACATTTTCCCCGGTTCATAGCAATTCGTCAATTGGGGACAATTACTTGGTTCGTCTCTTGTCGTCGAGGCGGGTTTCACTACGAACGAGCATTGCAAGTGGACGCAATCCTCCACGGCAATTATACAATTCACTGGGCTCGATACGTACAACCGAATTTTCACCTATTAAGATGTTCAACACGGCCATTTAGTCTAAAACGGCTGCAGTGGATAACTCTTGCTCAATCATGCCTAAAACTGTGACGAGGTATGGGGGAGGAGGCGTTAATGGTTTGTAATGCGGTAATCAATTACAGTGCTAGTTCTCGGATTCGGTTTCTAGTTGTGGTATTATTAAAGTCTAGGGTTGTTAAAAAAATTCCGTAAAAATAAATGCATGATTACAGCGGCGAAAAATTTTGCAATGAAACTTATAAAATCTCCTAACTTGTAAGTTTCATCTTAAGCGCAGAGACTAGCAAATTTTTTTTAATTTAAATTAAAATTTAAAAAGTTTATGGTCGTGTTCGTTCTAATGACCGTAAACAAGCACTATGTACTTATGTACGTATTCATATAGAATATACATGATTGTGCGGTATAACTGATAGTCAAGAGATTTATTGAGTCCATAGATAAATACAGTTATATTCTCTTTAAAAAACCTTAACTCTACTATGTTGTAAAGGAGTTTTACAAACACTAATTATATTAGATAAGAACAAACACCCAGATCCGAAACAATGACGAACCGAATGACGTAGTGGGTAGTGTATCTGCCTCCTGCGCCAGAGGGTGTGGGTTCACGCCCCACTACTGGAAAAATAATGTGTAATGAACATAGTATTTTTATAGTGTCTGGATGTTTATACATATCTATTTATGTATTTATTTACAAAATAAAAGTATGTTTAAGTATGTTTATCAGTAATCTAGTATACCCATAGTACAAGCGTTGCTTAGTTTAGAACTAGAAAACGTTGTGTAAAAATGTGTCCTAAAATATTTATTTATTTATTTCATTTTATTATCCGTGGATCACACAAACATATGGCCTGGGTAAAAATCAAAGCTACGACCCGTGGCGCTTAAATTTATCGCTTAACCAGTGCGACATGAAAATGGGAAGGAGTTATAGAGGTGGAATATTAACGAAACAATGACAAATCATAGAGAACAAAATATAATGAAAGAAACGTTTGTAAGAGCGATAAAGATCACGGGGAAGTTGTGCAGGAAGAGTCTGTGGGCGATCTAGTTCTAGAGCGGGTCTGACTTTGAACGAAAATACGACTGGGCGTGACCGAGTTGGCTGTTGCTACCGCAATCCTTACAAAATGTGCCTACACCTTAGGGAGTGGGTAAAAAAAATCGATACATTATACAGTAACCATCGGCTCTATCATAAAGTAGTGCGGCGAAGGAATTTATCGATATAATCATGACATAAATATTTGTTAAGCAATTTTATAAACGCGAGTTATTTGTTTTGTTAGTTAAACTTAATTGGTTATAAATGGAATGAATCATCAACGTATAAAGTGTCAGCGCAGTCAGTGATACTGTGTAGACAATATAGCATAATAAAACGAAAAAAGAAATTTTGAGCTATAAATCATGTATCTGTTAATGTAGTTACTAGTACTGTATACATAAATATTCCGTTATAGAGTTGCTAAGGTTTCTATCACTTGACGAATAACGCCGCGTCTCCTTTAAAATTGTCAGAAGCCTATATTACATGAACTGTTTTATATTCAAGAGAATCGCTAACGTTGTCTATGGCCCATTTACATGGTGCCAGTTTCTTGCCTGTTATATACAATTAAATTGAAGCAATAAATGAGTTGCATGGTCTAAACAACAAATGGTCTAAACAATTATTGCGCGCAATTTATTGCATTCAATTATTGCTCTTGTATGTACAAGAAAATGGCATCGTGTAAATGGGCCTTTAGTACCCGTACGAGATAAATTCTCATACCACTAAGCGGTATGCGAATTAGTGCAGGCGCGCATTATGAATGATGCATCTTCGGCTCGTACAAACTACTGAGGAACAGATGTTAAGAGCCTGTTAAGATCTTAATGAATCCTCGTAACGGTCGGTGCATCAAAGGAGTTTATATTCTTTGAAATTAAGGATTGCATAACTGTATTCTTGAGTTTCAAGGCGTACCTTTGTTTTCTCTTGCGACAAGGTATAAAAACACATGATTACTATACATTACATGGATACAACTGGGGATTACATTTCATAATTCCTAAAAATAGTCTTTATAAAAATTATTCCCGAGCGTAAGTAGATATGTATAAGATTGAATATTTCTTTTTTCCACCTTTGAATTCTTTACCCTTCAATCTATAACAATGAAACTACCGATTTTTTGTGCCCGCAAAGATATTTTTTTTATGTGAAAAGTTGCCAAACGAACAGATGGTTCACCTGATGTTAAGTGAATACTGCCGCCCATGGACATCTTTGTTTGCTTGTTCACCCGAGAGTTACAGTTGCGTTGACAACTTTTTGAAAATTGAGCTCCGGTTACCTCACTCACCATACGAAATGCGAAAGTATTTGTCATACTTCCACTTTACGCTGGTCTTCTGTGAGTTAGTGGTACTTACCCGGACGGGCCTGCCCATTCGTGCAACAGCCGAGGCTGCTGCATGGCCCTACCACCGGTAGATTTCAAAGTGCAAGCAAAAACCATATAATACACAAAATAATTTCATTTAAGAGCTTCTGCAATACAATAGCTTTGACATGCCAAAACTACTCAACCGATTATCATGAAACTTTGTACACATATTCTTAAAAAGGACATAGGACTATTTTTATTAAAAAAAATGTTTAAAAAAAGATATATATTTAAAGGCTTCAACGCGAGCGAAGGCGCGGGAGAAAATTTAGTGCTGCTATAAATGAGGCTATGCTATGGTTAATCACGTCGATTAATAAAGAGTGACCGTAAAGTAGGCTTGAACAATTAATGCGTCCGGTAGGAGTTGGGGCTCCACGCGGTGCGCAATTTGGGCAATGCAGAGTTCCGTCTGTATGATTGACGATCACAACGAACGGCGTCCGGTGCACAGGGCATGCCAATTTTCACTAAATAGAGTTTATTAATATTTGAAACGATTAATAAAATATTTTGGTTCACTAATAAACGATTCAGCGAGGGTCTAGCTAGTGGTTGGGACTTCAGATTTGATTCCAAAGACAGACAATAAGTTTCGCCTTTTCTTAGTGCTCGGTATAACCACTAAGCATTGATTACCTTTGTCTGCTGTACCTAGGCTTTCGTAAACCATAACAATGAGGCAAGGGCGCAAGCCGACATTTTACACATAAAAATATATTTATTGTGTACTCGAAGCCAGCTCGGGTTTTAAATAAGTGATGTTCAGTAAATCAACATCAATATAGTTACAGAGGCTATTATATATTATTTTTTAAATGATAGTTTTAGTATAAAAATTGTTCATATTTCATTACTATTTGAATAGGTACTAAAACACGAAAGGTACGAGAAGGCTGTAATGACTTCAATGTATTGTATGTTTATGAATACTAGTGAAATAGGCACGTCTATATCTGATCTAGGTTGTAATTTCAGTGCGAGCTAAAATGTCTTTTCCGAATAACAATTTCTAGACAAGATTTTTTTATTCGTTTAGCCGACCATAATGTATCGGACGAGTGTCCAGTGTTTCCAATATTTATCATTGGCATAAACGTTTCGATACGGTAATGTCGGAACGTAATACTTCACATAATATAACACAGTGGTGGGGCCACGCCGCAGCTTCGGCTGTTGCACGAATGGCCGGGGAAGTACCGCGGCGTCACAAAAGACCGACGCGAAGTGGAAGTATGATTTTTTTGCGTTTCATCTGTCGAGTGATACCTATACTATACCTGTACTATCTATATATTTTTATAGTTGTCAACTCATCTGTAACCTGTCAGGTATTGTAGATGCGTTGACAGTCTACGAGCGGCGAACATCACATAACATCGAGTGAACCGTCTGCTCGGTTGACAACATTTCACATTATTGTTAATAATGAAAATTGCAGAGTCTTCGCTATAATTTTATTGCAAATGCATTTCGTAGGCGGAAAGAGCCGCCGGCAACGGTACCTCTATCAGCCGTTGTTTTTGTCTCTCACGCGCTCGAATACCGCTTCGATAGTAATCGCCGGGGGGCGATTGTGCCTGCGAAGGCCTCGACCGATCCCAGATTCCGTAAATGCTAAGTTCACGTGAAACATTCGCACAGACTTTAACATTATTACCTACCGTTGAGGAATGCTGGAACGCTCGTGAACATAACAGATCTATGATTACATAATTACATCGTAACATTTATCTTTTATCCGTTTCTGTTCCTAATAGACGTTTCGCTTACTAGACTAGTCATAAGAATGCTTAATTTTATGAGGCATTTAATTCCTATATTTATTGTTATGCAATAAGTTTTTCTATAAGGTAAAACGATAAACAAGATGTTTGAATTTTTACGTGACGCACTTAGAAGTTTATGTACGCCCGGTTTCTGTAATACTGATCATCGTAGAAGTTAACTAATCAGCTGTCAAATGGCTTTTCAAATGTTGCTTGAGTTGGCTAAAGGATTAACCATCTTTCAATTGATCATTAAGAAAATCATTTTATACAATTCAGAGTTTAACAATCATTTTGGCAACTTAAATAACATTTTAAAAGCCATTTGACAGCAGATTAGTTAACTTCTACGATGATCAGCGTTACAGAAACCGAGCGTAAGTATGTTCTATACTAGACTATATTGATTACGTAATTTCTAGAAGGTTCCTATTTCAAATCCGGATTCAGACGAAGCCGTAGAGGTATACCGAAGGCACTTTGCGACGAGTTCTCAAGCAATCTCCTTATCTGATGTGTTAGCACGTAAGTAAACAACGATGAGTCAGCCTTCGTTGCACAACACAAGATGACAGGCTCGCGGAGCATTTACTTGTGTGCAAAAGGAGCGGGCCTCCGCCAACTGTGTACACAGGCTGTGGGGCCTGACAGCGTAGCAACTTGACATAACGTACGGCACGTCAAATTGAAGTTATACTGTT